CCCCAAAACCCCAAAACCCCAAAACCCCTATTTTGTGTTTAAAAATTGAAAATAAAATTATTGCTTCCTCACTGCATAAAGTTTTTGAAGACATCTGGGATCGACGACTACAGTCTTATTTACTTCCTTCAGTTGCTTCTGCCTTGACATCCTCGATCTGATTAGTTTGAGTAGGATAGGAGTCTCCTGTTCGAAGTCAAGCTCAACGATAGAGTCTTCATGATCATGCATTGATGAAGCGAGAAGGTTTTTCTCTGTTGGAGACTCAAAGCTAGCCTCATTGAGAAAGCCAGAGACTTTCTCAAGTACAGCGTTCTCGCTCATGAAGTCATCAATACGGTTGTTAGACTCTGAAGAGTACACTGTATTAATGCTCCCAGGGATCTCCTCTGAGTAGCTGACATCACTCAGCGATTTCTTCTTCACTGATGAATATGGGATGGGGCATTTCAAGTGCTTCAGACAGTCTAGTTCAGGCATGGAATCCAGCCCAGACTTAGTCTGGGCTGGCTTGCACGCCCTGCATTGGATATCTGAGTAGTGAAAGACCCAATGGACATCCATATCATTTCCATGACTGTAAAATTTGTTTGTGAATGTAACTATATTTCAGGGGTTTTCTTCTTCCTCTATTAATTTTGTTTCAAAACTTTCTGCGTTGTTTTCGGTGATAAGTTGGTCAGGAATATTTTGATCTTTTTTGGTTCGGGCGCTAACAGAAATTATCTGATTTCTAAAGTGTCAATGAGGCATGCTGACTTGAGAGAATCTGCCCTTACTGTGGGAACTGCTCCTGTGTTGTCGAGATTGGTTTGAGAGAGCCTAGCTGTTTTGACAGGTTTTATTGTCTTGGATTTCGAGTTTGAGTTTTTGAGAACTGTAGATGGAGTTCTCTGGTACTTCACACTCAATGAGCTTATTCTTCCCTTTTCACTTCACTTCTACACCAAACCTCAACTCCATAAACTCCCAAAAATGTTCCTCAAATCAATAATACAACCCATACAAAACTCATCTTCCCCTCCTCAAAATCCCAATCTGTAAAAGCCCACTTACCTTCATCGGACTAGAGAACGCTTCAGTAGTGTCTCACACCTCCCTCATTCCTCCCCCATGTCCATCCCCACTCTCTCTCTCTGAACTCTTACTCCTAAAACAGTCTAATCAGGTTCATCCCTACGGTTTTGTGTGACTAATCCTGATATCCTTCTTGGCGTAGTACTCTTCTATAGGATATGATTATTGGTCCTTGGTGGTTTTAGTAGTAGCGTCTTAGGTGTGTTGAGACTCTCTGAAAATTAATCGGAGGTTCCAAGAGGAGCAAGAAGTTTAATATAAGTCTTCTCGCTTGCTAGGGGTCTGTGGGAAGACATCCTCTCTTGGAGGCTGAACTCTTAGAAGTTAAACTAATCTTTTATTAGTAGCCAATGTCTTGTGTGGGCTGGCTCACCTCTAAGCTCCAGCTTAAGAATGTATTATGAGTAAGTGCACTTACTGGTGATCTTGTGTTTCTTGGCTTTCTTGCCCACACAGATAGTTGCAGTTCTCCTTTTCATGATTAATATTGGTTCTTTGATAGCGAAATTATGCAAATTTCAATAAAAGGTTTCTTAAATGGGGTTTTGGGGTTTTGGGGTTTTGGGGTTTTGGGG